ATTGAGGCCGGCTAGATCAGGTATGGCCACAGCCGTAACAAGTACAAGTACACCGCATTTGCCGTCTTAATGAAACGGCAGAGGCTAACTTAGTTTCGAGCTGTATAAATTTATTCGAAGTGGACATAACTTATTTTGGAAATTCTTAAAATAAAGTAATCAAACCCGCGTCTCTTGTGAAACATTTTTCTTGCAGTTCATGTTTTTCGTTTTTTTTTAGTATCCGACCCAAGCAAAATAGAATAAAAAGGGGAGAATAGAGTAGGAGGAAGAAGCAAGTGCAAAGTGCTAGAATAAGGGCCCGGGCCCGAGTACCTTGAGCTGACGCCGAGCAGATTCCAACTCCCGATTGAGACGTGAGATGGTCTCTACCTGTGAAGCCGCTCGTTTCTGCTCCGAGCGATGTGCCTCCCTCGTGGCGGTTAACTTTGCATTCAGGTCGCTAACTCGAGACTCCTCTTGGCGCAGAGAGTGTCGGAAGGTCTCCGCACGTTCCCGCGAATTAGCTAACATCTACGGAAGTATGCAAAGAACAGAGTAACAAATGGACTGAAAAAGGCCTATAACAGAAATGCTGTCAGATAGCCGGTTCGCGTATAGTAAAGGTCTCACGAGCAACCCAACACTCTAGTATATATGATGGTTGCAGTTGCCAAGATATCTACCTTAGATAGCATTGTCAAAAAAATACAAAGAAGACGGTAATGGCCATTTCTGGCTCAGTAGCCGCCATCAGCCAGCCATACCCAATCTCAATTGGTGCACCACCCGAGGCTCGAACCTGTGACCTTTTGGTCAGAAATCTAATGCTCTAACCATTGAGTGGTCAGGAGAAGTGTAGGTTAAAACGCTGAACTTCTTATTAACTGGTCGCGGGTTCGATCTTCGGGTGGTGCACCAATTGGGGTTGGGTATGACTGGCTGATGATGACTAATGAGCCAGAAATGACTATTCCAATCTCCATTGTCTTCACCGGCAATGCTATCTGCCTAGACTACTAGCCGTTGTGTGGCTGCTGGCAGGATTCGAGGGCGAGGCCCCATGCAGAACGGGACAAGTGAGTTCCGTTAGCGATCAGTGAACGTTAATCAACGTTAGAAATCATGGACTAATGTCTTAGCATACGAAGTTAAACCCAGACATGCGAACAGAGTTCGGTGGCATAAGATATCCGGCGGTGTTCACCTTCCCGATATTTGAGTGTCAAGTTGGCAATGTTCTTAAACAGAGTTAGTGACTTAAATGATGATACCAAAATATATAGCAAATATCAAACAAAATAATAATAATAGCAATATTATACAGTAGGTTAGGCGATTCACGACCTGTGACCGAAAACTGAGTGTTTGGTGGGGAGGGCATAGACTGTTGTTATTTTTATTAATCGGATGTAACTGGAAAAGTCTATTTGGCAAACATATGTTTTCGGCAATTCATCATCGAGCCGGTAAAATTGAATGGATAAGGATAATAGTACAGTTAGACAGAGTTAGTAAGTGTCTTATGGTTACAGCTCCTCGTTTTCACGCCGCCCGCGTGGCGAGATCAGCATGCAGAGGTTATTGCGCTGGGGGAGGAATCCAGTACTGTGTTGTCAGAAGACACTTTTACAAGCACCATCACTTCCGTGACCAAAGCCAACGCCAGATGCCGATCGCATATAGCCCCCATTCCCTGGTGAAAGTCGTTCACTCCGCGCACTCGACCCATGACCAATACTCACAGCCTATCCCAACCCTCTTCCCTCCCCCTGTTCAATTACCTCTATATGCTGACCTCACCATGCGGACGGCTTGAAAACGATGAGCTGTAATCATAAGACGCTTATTGACTCTGTCCAACTATACTATTCTCATTAGCCATGCAATTGTACCGGCCCGACGATGAACTGCCGAAAACATGTGTTTACCAAATGGACTTTTAAAGTTAACCATGGAAATATTTTCAGAACTTGGATAATCGGGTTTAGTTGAGGCGGTCGAATTTCGCGGGTCAAAACCGCAAGTTTGGCGCGTTCTGTTGTTAGAGGATATAAACAGAAATGAGAAAAGTTCGCACTAAATGCCGCTTGAAGTGGAAAAGTTGATTTTTGGTTCACGAAAACCAGATAAGACCCCGTATGAACATTCACATTCTTTTCAGGAATAAAGGCTGCACTAAATTTTAGGAATTTCGACTTGAAAAGGCGTGGCATTTTGCACGATAGAACACTAAAATGAGGTTGGGTGACAACATTTTGTTTTATCACACTTGGAAGTACAGGGCGTAAACAAATGAATAGGGGGTGATATTGACATGCTGGCACTGTTCTCTGTCAATCTGTGCACGGAGGGTTCTGAAACGCTGCTGATCTGACGTTGACCTTGGGTGGATACGAGAAGTGGCAGCTGGATGGCTACTGCGTGTACCGTTAGCAAACATTTTCCATAGAAGTAAAGTCACTATGTGCCTACAAACAAGCAGGACAGATTAAAACGGTCCACAAGCAAGCAAGACGGATACTACAAATTATCATTACATGTCCGCCAAGACTATAAGCAGAGTGAACTTTTAAATGTCCACCATGGGTAGAATTAGGAAGAGAAAGGAAAGAATTCGAGCTTCATCTGAAGACGGTCATGACTATGCTGTTTTAAGTGGAAAACTGACCAGAGAATGGTCTCTGTTTGCTAATGAATATGTTTATCATCTCAAATCTTTATTTTTTTAGGATCTACTTAAGCGATGAGATCTTACTCTTAGAAAAGTTAAGGTAAGAATTTCCCGTGGGAGGTTGTACCTATTACAATCTTCAAGAACTGTTAGCGTCTAGTGGCTTGGGCAATAACACAATTCGGTGAGCAGCCATTCTGGCGGTCGATAACATACACTACGCAAACGAGACAAGAGACTAAACCCAACCGACCTTAAAGTTTGACGAGCTCTTCCGTAAATGAAGAATGTATCGGAAGCAGTCGGCCACCTTCGCATTACACTTAGATTTTGAGTTGCACAGAGAGCGGAGGCAGCTATCAGGCGCCAAGCTAAAAGACTCACTGTCACGGCAAGAAGCAACTGGAGTCGTTTACCGGATCTGGTACAGCTGTGGACAAAGATACTACGTTGAAGAAACCAGGAGATTACTCCGGACGTGAATGGCCAAACAAGCAGCAGCGGGGAGGATGACGAGGGGAAGGAGTCCGATTCCAGAACTACTCCACAGAGGACGCTAACCAATGAGTATCACAAACAGTCCCTGTGGAGTGAAAATTAAGCATTTGGAGTCTTAGTGACGCCGTGTGCGGTTTAACACCGATAATCAGTTAATAACTTTGATTAACAACTGAATTCGGGATAAGGATGACTTTTATGGCGGCCTAAATAGGACACGGGCACAGAAACGCCCCACAATTAAATAGGTAAATTCATTTTAAATTTCAGGAAGGGTAGATAGTCCCGCGTCTTAATCCCAACATAAAACAAAATTACAACCTTAATGTTTAACCCTAGGCCTACCCTAAATATAAATCGCACAGGTAACATGAACCGGAACCTTAACTTTTAATATAATCCTGACCCCAATCCCAATTCTGACCTCAATTTTAAACCTAATCCTAATTCCCGCCTTAATTCTAACCTGAAGTTCCCCGGAATTTGGCGCAAAGCCATATGTATTGCGGGCAGATCCGGTTCTTGTGCCGTGTTTAGGCGGTCATGCAAGGCTTCCTCACCTAAAATACATGCGACAACTATGAGGGCCACAGGTGCCTTATTGAAAATGTGTGCTGAATGCATAACTGGCGAATCCATTTCTTCAGAGATAGTGCAACGTTGATCAGTGAAGCCTAAAAGTGGGGCTATGTCTTAGGAGTGCTGCTGTAATAGGCAAAGCAGTAGTTTTGGAATAATGTTTAATTTACAACTGATGTTCATAACTTTTCAAAATTAGAGCGGAAAACAGAACTGTAGTTGCAATCTCTATCGGTACAATGCATACTCGGAACGTGTGCGATTTTGATTTAAAGTTCTGCCGTTCCTCTACGACTATCTTATACGGAAAAAAATGGACGAATATGTAGGTCATGAAACTTATTCCATCGTCTTTTTAAGCGTATCAAAAGGTTTCTACTCTTTTCGAAGGGACGGACAAGCATACTGATCTTTATAGGGACCTATACTGATAATATGGTATACACTGAAAAAGTAAAAGTCGTTGCTTGGGGTCTTAGAGTAGACCCTCAAAAATGGAAGGTTGCTTAAATGGGGGGCGGTACTGATGAGCATGCTGCACCCTGGTTTTGGATTGAATATCTTTTTTAAGTTACCTGCATCAATCACATTAGTCAAGAGAGGGGGCGTCTTTCATTTAAAAAAGACCGTAATCGTGGGAACTTTTGGACCATTGACTAGATTTCTCGAGTGTTGTTGTATATCAACACACCAGCGCAATTGGTTTTATGGTATATGTGCCCTTACTAATGCTGCTTTTTAAGCATACAAGGCGATCAAAATCAACCGCACTACTTCACTACCAACAAAAGGCCTATTTATAGGGTCATAAAGGAAGTTTTTATCAATGCTCTGGTGAAAGTACACACAATGGACCTCCGAAGCCTTAAGTCATACAACCGGGTTCTTTGAGAACAAGTCGGGCAAGTCGTTTTGTAAAGATGCTTCGGCATCTTTAGTTTTTATAATGACCTTCGTGAATCCTATTGGTCTCAGGCCTCTCTGATTTTGATTCGGTGCACTCTGACGAACACATTCTTCTGGTGCTGTCCATCTACCAGTAGGCGTTTCTCCGTGCGCGATTACAAACTCCTTCAGGTTATTTTTGATAATACTCGCTTTTATTCTGATGTTCGTTTTCTACTACTTCTTCCGTCGGGTCACATATGGAGTATACTAGTACTTAGGATGGCGGACCGGCGTTCGATCACATTTTCTAATAGATATAAGTCTCATTAAAGCGCTTTATACCTGAGCAATAATTAGATGGTCTTTGGTGTCGGTGGATATGACGCAAATTGAACTTAAACTTGAAGAGAGCCGAATTCTGCCCTAAGAAAAAGCGCTCTGACTGTTCGCGACACTGGGCACCACACAAGTACTGGGGAAAAAACATAAACACGGCACACTTACATACTGCGCCCCAGTTTACTGTGGAGATTATTTGCCCACTTGGAGGCACGTGTAAACTAAGCGTATAGGAAGTCGGCCACCACAACCAACCTAACATGCAGTAATAGTGACACCATGTTGTGAGTGGAACGCTACGGGCGCGCGAGGATAATCATACAGGTAATGCGCATTCACTTTTCGTTCTAAACCGAATGATTTACATAAATTGCTATGATGCTTTAAATACTGCATTCGCTAACAGGATAACCTAGGCCTTAAGATTGCGAACTATAATTGAATAACTGCACTCCTAATGTGGCTTTTGTAGGGACTCAAATGGATAAGACAGGCTTAGTACCGGCACAGGTGGCTGTGAAATTTTTAGTCAGATAGCACTGCCAACAAAGACAAGGGAGACTGGAATGGCCATTTCTGGCTAATGAGACGTCATTGGTCAGTCACACTCAACCCCAAATGGTGCCCAACCCGCGGCTCGAACGCGCAATCTTTTGATCAGAAGTTAAATGTTCTAACCACTGAGACATGGGCTCGTTGGTTTGGAGGTTTAGATAGGGAGATATTGACAATCTTTGATTAACGCTCACGGATTGCTTCACTTGTCCCGCTCTGTCTTGGTGCTAGTTCTGAAGCCCCCGCCAGCAGCCAAACAGCGGCTAGTAGTCTAAACAGATAACATTGTCAGCAAAGACGACGGAGACTGGAATGGTCATTTCTGGCTCATTAGCCGTCATTAACCAGTCATACCCAACCCCAGGTGGTGCCTCACCCGAGGCTCGAACCCACGACCTTTTGATCAGAAGCCTCATGCTTTAATCTTTGAGCCACAAGCTCATCGTCTGGCCAATGTATTCAGCTGCTGCACTAAATCTCATGACCAGTCTTCGTAGGTCAGTTTTGCAAATGAGACGTAGCGGGCATGAAAAGCGAGTAAGAACGAGGCTGTATAAACCCCTTTTTATTATAGCCAAGTTCTGCTTAAGGTACTACAGTTCATCCCGTAGTGGGGCTCCTCGTCGGGTACAAAAAAGACCCATCACGTCGTCAGCAGAGAACAGAACTGGTCTATAAATAACGAAAAAGTTACTCCTGGGGA